ATGTGTACGGAGTGGCAATTATAGCTACGTTAAGAAAATAAACACGTGTTTTGTGTGGGAGTGCTGAGATTTGTGAGTGATCAACATCCCCGGGTGATCAACATCCCGGTCAGCTAGCTTAGTGTACTACTATTTCCGGCCAAGTTTGCGGCCGGAACAGTCGATAGTCGAGACTTCGGAGGCTCGCTTCTCTAGGAGGGATAATTCTGTAGCCCCCTCCTCGTGTCAGCGCAATCACCGATGTTACCAACCTCCGATGTAAGACTGCGCTCAGACATCCAGTTCGGCGTATCGAAAAAACGGCAGCTATACAATTCTACAGATTAGGCAACCAATGCAAAACCTTCCGAGAATGATCGCGTGCGCTATTCGCCTTCTAGACCTTACATTAGCGCTGCTTCGAGAAGAAGAACTATTCTGTACACCTCTACGTGCTAGGTTCACCGGCCGGGAATCGTAAAAGTGGCAACCTAATACAGATACTTGCTCATGACGAACCGTCGTTCTATTCGGGCGTGGCTGGCTGGCTGGCTGGCTGGCTGGACTGTGGACATGACAAGCTCTAGCTAGGTTTCTTCAAATCTTCAAACTTCGGCGACGCTATCGAACACTCACGGCGTATGGCCTCTGCCGCATGTGAGACGATGTGACACAATATCCGGGCGGCTGCGATCGGGGGTCGGAGGAGGTGTTGAGGCTCTGCGGGTACGCGCATGGGCTCCGTTGTGGGTCCCCTTGTTGGCCTCGCTGCTGTCTTGAATAGAATCAGATCGCATCGGTGGCAGGGCTGCCTTTGGGGATAGTGCTGATTCTTGAAATGCTGAGGTATTGTTACGACGTGGATATTTTTCTTTACATACAGGGGAAGAGTGGACGTGCATGCCAGTGCGTGGTGTTAGTGAAGGCAGGATGCGTTAGGGCTTAGGTGTACTGTGCCTGGAACTAGGTACTTTTTCGGGCAGAACGCATGTGCATGGGCTTCTAGGTACAACCTAATTCGAATTACATACGCACGTATTGGTTGTCTGGAGAATTGCCATGTGCATGGGTATTGTGGTTCGCGTAGGGACATAGTCGTTGCTAAAGGAGAATATCATTGGTGGAGTGAAATTTTCATGTTAGCGAAAAATACTTCGTTAGACCTTCCAAATTTTTCGAGTCTTGAACATAGAGACGAACGATGGTCTCATTCTCATCAGCATGATGTATTGACTCTGAGAATTTTCGTCTTTATTAGATATCTAAATTCTGAAATACACATCAAAACAGCATCTGCCCGGCTAGCTCAATCGGTAGAGCGTGAGACTCTTAGCTTTCACGTCCTAATCAGACTCGATTGGTTATCTCAAGGTTGTGGGTTCGACCCCCACGTCGGGCTTTCCTTTTGCTCCCGTTTGGTACTGTCCTGGAAAGGGGGTGTTGATGGTGGTGGCGGTGAAGGATATTTTTTGCTCCCACATCTGGGCCGGCTATCTTCCATCACGACCACCACAACATCGAACGGTGTTATACGATGCTCTCTCTGAGGTATTCAGGCCCAGCTTGAGAACTCTAGTTCTCCTGGACATGAGAATAGCCATTGTTTTGGGTGGCTTCATGAAGCTTTTCGACAGTTGAACTTTTTTTAATCCTCCGGAGCAGTATATCTGCCTTTCGCCGTCAATTGCATTTAGTTTTGTGCTGTTATAAAACATCGATGAGTTCCCTTTATTCTCTTAGACTACATTGGCAGAAGCACTTTTAACGTGTATCTGGTTGCATATTTATGAAGACTACCATGACGATGAGAAGAGATAATCTCCTTGTCACTGAATCAGTGTAAACTGTGTTTCTTTACTGTGTGAAGAACCTAGTCCCTTCAGCGCAGGAAAATCAAGCATCAAGTCTTGTTAGACATACTTCTACCAGCAGGGAAGACTTTCATTGCTCTCGCACGGGCAACTTTGTAGGCTGTGATATTGAGCTCTACCTTCCTTGCGCCATCCCTAGTTGTACAAAAAGCACGATGAGCCTAGAGACGCTTAGTCTAGTAGCTGGCGGCTGTAAATTGTAAAAAGATAAAGCTATTGCTGGACAGCACGAACGAGAGCAAAAGGAAAGCCCAACGTGGGGGTCGAACTGCATCCCCCTAAAAGAAGATCCAATTGTACGCTCATCGCACACAAGACATTGTCTTCTTCTGACTTCCTCCCCACGCAGTTATCATTCAAACAATGAGAGCTATTGTCTCCAAGCTTGCTCACTTGCAGCTATCTTGAATGCCTCTATTGTCGTTTATCCTTCCAGCACTTTACTTACTGCATTAGCTTGCTTTGTTCTCAACTCCTCATTCTGTTGGTACAAGGGCATTTTAGCTGGCCGTTGAGAACAGTGGGTCAAAAGAAGATCCCGTCTTCAGCTAGTGAACAGATTGTAGGCAAAAGGGGACCAGGAGACGACGAACTTCTACCATATGGACCAAGACTAGGAAATGCGCATGCCTGCAGACAGTCAGAACCGGCTAGGCCTGGAAGCCAAGAAAGTAGGCTCCCCTGATAGCGTTTTCTACCCTAATCGTACTCTTGGTGTTCATTGACAATCTACCGAAGGTTCTGCTCCTACATGTGCTTCATGTGCTTCATACGCTCCTCAAAGTTGTGCCACATGCCCTTGCTCTGTCGAGCCTGGATCTATGTACCAAGCGAACAGATCAATACTATCACAACGATCTAGTACGGTGGTCTTTCCTTTGTTTTGCCTTTCTCTTGATTATGTCTTGATCTTCCCTTCTCAAGATCGCTGTTCATCTCGGTGACCTTTCGTTGTTCGACCGCAAGCGGATGGTATAGATCAGTTGCATGCTCCTCGCACTGTCTGGGTATTGACTATATTTTCGGCTCGGTCGAGGTGGTCGCCTGGGTTGCAGAAACCTGCTTCTTGTGATACGATCAGGCTGTGTGTTATACGGAACTGCACTGTTGGTGATAGTAATACTGATCATCGCAATGTGTATATCTGGGCGGGTCTCCAGGTTTTCCAACTCTATCATGTCTCCCTGCGTTGGTTCTGGTTCTGCCATTTTGTCTGCTTCCGCTGTGCCTACACGACGTTATTGACCAGAAATTGAACAACTCTTGTATAAAAAGCTAAGGAGCGAATGTAGTCTGAGCAACGCAACCGTCCAATGCACGTCACATGTGAAAGCAGATAAGTAAGAAATGAAGATGTAATAACTCCAAACGCCATCTCCTAGCCTGTGTTGAGGCAGTGGGTATCTATGCAAGACCGCTGTTATACAAGGAGTAAAATGCCCCTCAGACCACGTAGAACGCCGACCGTTAGAGCCACAAAACGCCACACCCATTTTCACCAGGCCCGTTACTGTTACCATTACCATTACCGACCGCATGAGTCCCCTCGATGCCTCTCGCTGTTCCTGGGGCGTGTGGTAGGCGGAAAGGAGGGCTCGCAGATCTATAGGGGAACAGCTCTGCGACATTCCCCGGCACAGCCTTTCCGTCAACAACTTCCTCGACAATGTCAACAAGACTCTCAAAGTCAGATAGGACACGCTTCGCATATAGCAGACTATATGCGAGATCGCGTAGCAAGGCCAAAGCATCGCGAAAAGCTTCAACGTGGGATTGATTCCTCCCAGCGACGTTTCGTACAAGGAGAGAGCAAAGAACGAGTAGAGCATTCGAGAGAGATGATACCATGCGGTGTCGAAGGCTGAAAGGCTGTCGGATGTCTTGAGCAAACGTGGCCATTCGGCTGACAGTAAAGACTGCAAGATTGCTGAAGTGAGAAGCATGATTGTCGTCGTATTGGAGAGAGGTTATGACGGAGCGTAAGCCCCAGAGCACGAAGTCGGTCTTCTTCTGGGTAATGAAAACTTTTAGAGGCGGAACGGTCGCACCGACTGGCTGGGCATGAGGAATTTCTAGTGTTTGCAAATCCTGCTCGAGGAAGTATGAGATCTGCCTGTCAATGACCTCCTGCGTTGCGCCATCGAGGCTACGACCGTCAATATTGTTGTCAGCATAGCGTGCCCAGAGTATCATGTAGTGAATATAGTGATCAATGAAACGTCTTGGATCGATCTCATCAGCCTTGTATAGCATCGCCTAAAGATGGTGAGAAACAATAACCGCAAGGTTAGGTAGGAGCTTTACTCACCCTTTCGGACAGATCCGCGGGTGCCTCGACTTGGATGTCGGTCTCATGGATTGTATACGGGCGTCCGAAGGTCAACGAGATGAAGCGGTCTTGTACAAATACGTTCCAGAATGTGCAGATACGCTCGTATGCTTGTGCGGTTGTGATGTTTGTCCATGTAGACTGCTGATGCAAAGACGACTGGAACGCGAGTCTGGCAGCGGCACCGATAGTGTTGTAAGCCGGACCGGGCATATCTGCGTAAGAATAGTATATAGCCTGCGACAGTCAACTCTCATTTACCAAGCTTTGGATGTCCACAAACTTACCTGAAATAGTACGCATTGTATCAGTGTCAGATCGCCACTTCCGTTCAGTAGTGACCTCTTATCGACGAGGTCGTCGGCCAGCTCAAGCCATCGCCAGCCTTTCGGTTTGCCAGTATCGATTGGCGCGACATTGAGCAGTATGTCGCAGCAAGCAAAGATGCTGTAGTTCAGCGCGAGGAACTGGTGGTCTTGTAGGGGTATGGTGGTGCTCGCTAGCATGTGTTCGCTGCGACCGCGGAACTCGGATTCATCTATGCACGGATGAGACAGGTGGATGTCGGTGAAGAATGAGGCTAGGTACTGTTGGTAATCCGCCGGGCTGGGGTAGGGCAACTTCTTGTTGCCCACTTGTATGAGATGCGGTGGCTCGCCATTGAATGCAGGGCCAGGGCCTGGCAGAGCCGAGTTTCCTGAGTCTGACGGCTCGTGTGAGAAGAGGGAAGGCTGTCCCATGAAGGCGAGGGCTGGGTTGATGGGGTCCAGCGGCGGGACAGACAAGGCGGCGTCGCCCCGAAAGCCATCACTACCGTTGTCTTCGCGCTCTATGCTGCCCATTGGTGTCATGGCCAGGCCTCGGTCGCGCATAAGAGCCTCCATCATAGCCTCGATGCGGGCCATGCGTGCTTCCATACTCATGCCGCGTGTACTGGCATCGCTCGCCCTCCGCTCCGTGCCATTGTCGGATGGCATCAGAGTTCTTCGTGGTATGCTGTTGCCGTTGCCGCTGGTGTTGGAGGCTTGCGACTGAAGGGCGGGCGTCGGTCGACTGAGGTTTTGCAGGGCTTCGGCCGCTGTCTGGTCTTCAGAGAAGAAACATCGCTTGCCGTTGTCCATGCATCGTTGGCATGGATTTTCACCGGAGCACTGCTTTAGTTAGTGCTGATGCCTCCGAGTGTTGTTGCCGTGTGAATTGCGTCTATCTTAGCTGCGGAAGGACCGCTGTCGCACAGAGGAAGGAGCGACACATTGGAAAACGAGTCGGACAGTATACCGAGACAACGTACCTTGAGCTTCGACCGCCTGCATGATACACCTAGACCCGTCTGTCAGCCGGCTGATGGCATGTCACCGTTGTCTTGTCGCGCGAAGCTGCGTCGAACCACTACGGAACCATCGGAATGCTGCATAGGAAGCTCCAGAGATGCCGAGTGGAAGTTGCAAGAGCGGAAGGCGCGACTTACATGCCTTGGGCGCGTACTTTTGGCGGACCTTCTTGCGCTTGGGCGACGACGACCTCCTTTCGACGTCCATATGCTCTATGGGCGAAGGATGGCTGTTCATGGCGCGACGGAGTTGTTGGAAGAAGGATGGCGCTCCCCCAAGCTACTTCGGAACGCGACCGGGATCCGGGGCCACTAGCGCGTTTTCAGCATGTTCCCATGCAGCCACCAATTTCACTGTTTCTCCTTGATCTCATCACATTCATATCTTCTTGTACGCATCAAAATATCGTGTAGCTAATATGAAACTGAATGATCATTACAGAAGATTAAATTCGTGCGATGCAGAGGTCGGAGTGAGTTGTATTGCAGAGTATCGCAGGGTATCGCAAACCTCTGACATGTGATACAGCCACCACCGTAAGACCTTCATCTACGCGGCGTTTTTTCTCAAGCACACAAAGATTCGTTCATCCATTATGAAGTTTTCATTACTATGAAAGGTTTGACTCTAGAAACATACATCCTTGTCGTATGTAGTAGGAGTCTTGACTATTGGATGACGATAGACATTAGCGGAAATCATCAACGCTGAAGAGGACATTATACAAAGTCGAGCAAATGTGCTTGACGAAAGGGTATCATTGGAATCAACAAAGAAAAGGACTCGCTAGCTGGTAGTACGTACTGCAAACGCATCACGAGAAACTTTGATATCTCGTGATGAGAGAGCAGGGTCGAGCATTTGTGCTCAACAAGTAAAACCACGAAATGACAAAAACGGCAAAACTTGCTCGCTTGCTCGCTGAAAACACCGTAAGATTGATCGTATTTCTCCTGTGTGATGGAAAGGAAGAGGTGGTCGTGGTCGTAGTATCGTGAGCCATGGTGTCGTAACGGCGTGAATTTGTGAAGGAAGCTTGAGTCCACGTCAAAGATGGCCTCCGTTTACAGTGAGTGTTGTAGTGTCGTGGTGTCGTGGTGCGGGGGTGTTGTGTTGTAGGCTCGCGAGAAAAGCGACTTTCGTGTCTGATATGTCACCGTCCTTGGAGTTATGTCCTTGTCTCTTCATGTTGCGTGTGTTATGATGCATGATGAGACGTGAGTCAGTCTCAAAAGATGTCCAAACTCTCATTCTAATCATGAATCGCCCAGATCTTCAGCGCACGGCCACAAAGCTTCTTGAGAGCTTGAGTATCCTTGTTCTGACAAATCTTCAGGGGAAGAGCGTCAATCCTTGTGACACACTTCTCGATCTGTGAGCGGTAGTGTCCGGCATCCATAGAGCCGAGAATACTCTCTTCACCGTTCGCGGCATTCAACAGACCATCAATACACTCCTTGACTGCACGGCGATGATTGCTCTTGATCTCGTTGCTGCGGAACATGTCCTGGATCTCTGTTTCGAGGACCATATTGTCGGTCGAAATGTAATGGATGACGTTTTGCCGCGCGACACTGTCTACTGGCTCAACGGTAATGGACGGGATTTCGGAACCAGCGGGATAACAGGCCAGCTGATTGTCAGCAGCTTTTGCGAGGGTTGCAGCAGTCAGCTTAGATATGCCAGAGCCTGCGGGTGCGGAAGTGGCAGCGCCGGGGACGTAGGCATCCGGATCAACACCGGATGTAGACGCTCTGCCACGGATCGAAAATCCTCCTTCAGGAGCAGCAGGAGCCGCACCTAATATAGAAGCTCCATTGTCAGAAATAGGGTTAGAGCTTGCCGCTATATTGGTGTTCGTATAGCCGTGATTGGCGCAAAAGTTGTTGGTAGGTTGCTGCTCTTGCTCAAGAGGGTTCACAAGCGGTGTCGGATTCTTGATCCGATGGGCGATGGCCTCAATAAGCTGAGCCATGAAGACAACCTGGGGCTCGAGACCATCAGCCTTGCTCACCAGATACCCGTAGACCTCCTCGAGACGCGCCAGAGGCCAAATAGCCTTGAGCTTCTGGGCATCGTCTACAGCCAGTGGAATCTCGTTGTCGCACTCTTGTAGCAGGCCGAGGACGGGTTCAAAGATCTGCTGGGTCAAGAATTGAACGGTGTTGGCCACCTCCCACACATCGTTGTTTGCGATGGCGTTGTCTAAGAGATCGATGTTGTCGCCCATCTCGCCAGTGTACATGGCAAGTCTGTTAATGCGCCCTTGGTAGATGTTGTGGTAGTGATTCCAGAGAACCTCTGTCCTCACATAAGCCTTGTGTGCTTGATGAGCCATCCACATCTGCTCATCAACGCGGCGTTGAATCTCAGCACGTCGAGACTCGAACGCATCGATGATACTTTCAGTGGCTACACGCTTGTTATGCTCAGCAATGACGGATTCTATAGGATTGTGACCAGAAGGAAGGATCGGAGCCTTCATCTTCTCCTCGCCAAGGATATTGGTCAATCTCTCGTGGATGAACTTGCGACGCTCCTCAGGGGTCTGATTCGCGTAAAATTCGTCGCTGTAGGGTGACTTTTCGGGCACATATGGCGGCGGTGGTGGCGGCGTCAACTGGGAGCGGGATGCCTTGATACTCATATGACGATCCACCGCCCACTGATCAGATGAAGCGCGAAGCTCTTTCTGTCGTTTCTTCTCTTCCGCCATCTTCAACTGCTCCTCTCGGAGGCGGATCTCTTTCTCGCGCGCCATCTCGGAAGCCTCCCTCTTCATCTTCATATCATACCACCGGAAATCTCGCTCTGCGGGAGAGCCATGACGCTTGGGCTTCTCGATACTTCCTGTGGTTGAGGTGCGAGAAGTCTGCTGCTTCTGCCAGGGGTTAGTCGCTGTACGTCCATTCGTGAGAGTCAAGTCACGAACCTTGCTTGGCGGTGGTAGTGGAGTACGACTGGAGCTAGCACAGACTTTGCTCAGGCCAGTCAGAACCAGATAAGGGGCAGTGCTCTCAATGAATTTCTTTGCGAACGGTTAGATGCTGTCTGAGTGATAGCTGGAGGGAAAGACAAACCTTGAGGACGAGAGCATTAGTCTCGAGCTTCAGGCATCCGTGTTGATAATGGACGTAAGCCTTCTGCTTCAGTACATCCACTACACGGTTCGCCGTGTTGCGAAAAGTCTCGCGGATGGGCGCCATGATGCGATTTTGACTTGTCAGTGGGTGTGGTTGGTTTGAATAAAGTGTAGGCAAATATTGGTCTTGAGAACGACTTGAAGACTGAAAAGTCGTAGTGTAACTGTTAATCAATCTGGATCGTGAGCCGGTGAATCAGGATTGCGAGTTGATTGCAGTTGAGGAAGTTCGCGTGGAAGAGATTTGGTTAGAAGTGTGGGAAGGATTGGATTATATCAGAAGAGAGAAGGAAGGCAGCACTTGGCAGAACGTAATGGTCGGGATCTTGGAGTCGTCAATGAAAGCGAATATTAGCGAATGGGGAAGAATATGACGAAATTTTGGTATATAGTGCAGTGAAACGCCAGAAGCAGCAGCGGAAAAGCCCGTGTGCGCGAACAGGTGGGTCATAAGACGAGACAGAAGCCCAAGAAGGCTGGGAGATGGGTCTCCTGACTATATATCGTCGTGCTTGCGCGGTCTTTCACTATGGTGGAATTAACGCTTTGTTCCAGACTTTCCAATAAAGAATAACCTCCTACCCAGTACAGTGACTCACTATCGTCACGTTTTCTCGAAAGAGCTGTATGTATACTATACCTGTATACAGTATGCTCAATGCTGTGTATAGTCAATGATGGATGGTAGTCTCCTCGACAGCCCTTCGCACCATGTTCGTCTGACGTTAGCTGTATGCACAGTGCAACACACTCTGGGTGATTAGACTGAGCACCGCGAAATGACTGAATTTACTTGAGGAAATGCGTGACATTAATCGAAACGAGGTGAAAGTGAAGATGAAACTGTGAGATCTTACGTAAAGAGGAGATGGTGAAAGAGAAGATATGCTGTGTCACAGATTCACACACCAGTGATGTTAGTGACGAGAGCATTTCGGATGCCACAGCAAGACGCGGGGAAGATGGGAAGAGACGGCATGGAGCAGATTGACAGAGCAGAAGTTGAAATACGGGGATGTCAGGGGACGCACTTGCTGCCTCAGTCAAGCCGGGTAGGCGGGTATCGCCATCGGCATCCGCCACGTTCCTGCCTTGGGCACCACCAGTCTCGCCTGATCTCCTCATGTGTTCTCCTGACTATCTGTGAGGACGTATGCGTCTGGAATGTACGTTCGATGTCAGTAATATGGCAACGCGAGGGAGAGGTGAAGAGCCAGAGGTAGGTGGCAGTCTTGCTCATCATACGCGCGTCTTCGCCAACGAGTCTGGGGATACGGAACCGTCGGCACTCGAGCACTTGGACACATCCAGGGGCTCTTGAATCAACACGCCGATGTATGAGGTGAAGATGCTGCGTCGGAAAACGGAAAGGTTGTAGAGGAATGCATGTGGAGTCTCCAGAAGAAAAAAAGTGGGCATGGGCCAGCCAGAACAACGTCGACTCAGGCACCACAGGTCTCGAACATCCAAACAAATTTACTCCGTGGGCATCGTAAGGCGCCCAGCATTCGCGTCGTTCGTGTTGCGGTACGGATCGATCGCACGTTCCAGTCAAGCTTCCCTCGTAAACTCGGTGCCACACAACAGGTGTGGCGTTCAGAATAGATAGGAAAGATGTCGCGTGTTAGCTATGGCAGCCCTGCTTGCACTGCGGCATCATCGGCGGTATAGTAATCAAGGCACAAAGCCTTCAGAACGATGCCTGAAGCCGCCCCCTTTTTCGACGCCAACGCCGCAGCGATGACGGGAACGCGCAAGCCCCAAGGAATGAGTCGAGATTTGTTCCTGCAGACAGGCCGCTTCCTGTGGCTTTCTGTGGCACAGGCGGCTTGGCTCAGTGCCGGAATCCGCGTTGGCGCCGTTGGTCTTACCGGCTTAGGCTAGCCGACGGGGCGGAATCGACCTTTTCTCGTCGAAACTGGAAACGCTGCCCTCTATATCGAATCACCCCCATTCAAAGGATGCGAAATCAAGCTTGCGGCGCATGCATGATGTCTGTGGGGGCCGTGCTTTTACATCATGGGGGTCGATCGCCTATGAGCTTCGTGATCTTTGTGGCAGTCAGCGTTTTCCAGGGCTGACCTTTCGTTATCTTGTATATCTCTTTGTGCCCTGCGTCTCGTCTGCTGCGGCTCTGAGGTTCCTACTTACTACTAATCGCGCGTTCTGGTACCAGACGCCTATTACCTTTCTTTTTCACGCAGGGCAACTTACATTAGTCACTCGTTATACCCAAACTTTATAATTACGCTAATATGAGGGTCTCGCAAATCCCCCTCCTCTTCACCACACTGGGTGCCAGCCTTGTGCTCGCTCAAGAACGCTGCGACGCACCCTCGCCAGGCATATACTGCAACTCCACGGAAATTCTCGCATACCACTCGGACGACTGCAAGCCTTTCCACGTCTTCATCTCCCGTGGCTCCGATGAGCCCTACCCAGGCCGTCTAGGCAACCTCACCTCAGAGATTTGCGCAGCAATTGGAGGATCAGAAGAGTGTGGTTACGAGGATGTCGAGTACCCAGCGAAGAGCACAGCGTGGGGACAAGGCGTTTGGTGTGATTCTGCGGGCAAGGGTGCGAAGAGCGGACAGGCGCAGATGAAGGCGTACAGCGAAAAATGCCCTGATAGCAAGTTGATTGTGTTGGGTTACTCGCAGGGAGGATCCGTGGCACAGGACATGCTTGGTGGAGGAGGAGGTTCTGTCTTCGCATGTGAGCAAGACATGAACCCGGCTCTAGACGCTACGTCGGCTCCCGGCTCTAATGGTACGTATCCTTGTCTATAACAAGTCACGCTCTACACCATTTTACTAACCCTCCAACTACAGTCGTCGCAGCCGTAACCTTTGGCGCTGTCGTTCGTTCTAAAGACCAGAATTTCACTGTCGGTCGCGGCGTAGACTACGACGGCACCAGCGCGCGCAGCCCCGAACACCTTGAAGGCCTTCAGCAATACTCCGACGTCTTCCTGGACTACTGCCACTACGGCGACCCAATCTGCGCCGTCGGCTCCGAGCCCCAGGATGTAAACGAGCACCTGAACTATTTCGTCCAACACAACCCGGAAGTGATCAAGTGGGTAGTTGGTATGGCCAAGGCAAGCGGTGATGTGAGTGCGAAACCCAGCAAGCCCGTAATCAGCGCTTCTTCTTCCTCGACAAGTGTGGCAGCGAGACCCCAAGCCACGCCATCCGGATCCGCCACCCCCTCGCCTATTGCAACGACAACTGACGGAAACGAGAAGAGCGCACAAGCAACCACTACCGCTACAGGTGCTGCTAGTTCGCTGACTGCTACTCTCGGGTACCTGACTGCGCTGGCTTTGACCGTAGCTGTGTTCTTGTAGATATGATTATTCCATTGCAATACTCTTCTTCACGAGTGCTTGTACCATACAGCCTCGTTGCCTAGCATTTTGGATACCCCAAGCAAGGAGTAGGGAGCATACAACGAAGCATTGATATACATCGCGTATTGAATTCATCACAAGATAGACATGTAAATTTGAAAACTGAACATTGAACATTGAACATTGATTTCTCATGGTTATCAGGCCGTCATCGTCATTATATACAAAGGTTACTTGCTCGTGATAGGCTTTTGACCGAGAGGATCAAGAAATAGCAATATAACAAAGCGCCGCCAATGCAATGCATGTAACTCGTGTGAAACACAAACAAAAACTACAAAAGACCAATGGTCCTCTGCTTCATGGTCCTGACATCGACATTCTGCCAGCAGGCAGTGCTGAAAAGAGTGATGCAGTAGACGCACACAGCGGCGATAAGCATGTACTTTTGTGTCTGACCGTAGCTGAGGTTGATGGCATCACGAGTCGGGCTTCCAACAGGGTAGCTGTCCTGAACCTTGAAGCTGCCGTAGATACTGGCAAGGTCTGGCAAGGCGCTCGCGGGCAGGTTAGCTGCAAGGCGAGCTGGGAAGACACCGGTCCAGATGGCACCTGCAACGGTAGAGCCGATAGCGCTTCCGATGGAAATGATCATAGATTCCACGGCGAGGAGAGCAGGGAAGTCTTGCTGCTTGGATACGGCCATGAGAGTGGTTTGCTCGGAGGTAACCAGGACACCACCGCCAAAAGCGATGAAGATCATGCACATGACAATGTAGCCAATATTCTGGTCGGGTTGACGGAACTTGATCATGAGACCAACGCCGAGCATGGTAAGAGGTACACCGAAGAAGAACGAAAAGACCTTGAGCTTTCCGTAGTAACGTAGCACGATTCCGTAGATGATGCAAATGAAGCAGCTGCCCATGGTGTAGATGTTGGCGATCCATGTGGCGTGTACCTCACTCTGATCGAACAAGACGACGAGAAGAGAGTAGAAGTATGAGTCCCAGCAGTACCAGCCAACGTACAACGAACCAGCCATGGTGTACGTAAAGATGACGGTTCGGTTCTTTAGTAGTGGCCATGGAATGAAGGTGACCGGGGCACCCCACTTCTCCCACAGACCGAATGCAACAACTAGGAGTGCGCCGAATACGATGAAGCAGATGATGAGAGGCGACTTCCACTGCTCGGCCTGGTATGAGTAGATGTTGAAGGCTAGGAGGAAGAGCGAGAGTCCAGCGGCCAAGAGCAGAAGACCGACGGCATCGAATTCGCGAAGGTAGTAGGTAAGGGTTTGGATAAAGTTACCGCGGCTGGGGCGTGGTGCGATGAGACCCTGCTTGCGCGCCTTGCCTTCGTAGACAACAAACAGAATGATAAGAGGCGAGGTGACGATGGGGGCGATGATGGCAAAGATACCAAAAGCCCATCGCCAGCCGATGCCGCCATTAGCCGTAATGCCCTTGATGCCGTATCCGTAGATCCAGGTGGTAATGAGCCACGGAGAGGACGCATAGGAGATGAACAGGGCTCGGTTCTTCAACTTGGAAGTATCGGCGATGAAGACGGTGATGAAGAAGTCGATGCTGTTGGAACCAACGTAGAAGAAGGTCTGTGCCGCACAGTAGGCCTTGACGTTGTTACAGCTCGCCATCAGGATGAGACCGACGACGTAGATGGCTACACCCAGAGCGAGACCGAAAGGTCGGCCCCAGATGTTAAGGATCTTGGCATACGGGAGCTTCCAGATACCACCAACAATGGAGGAGATGACGGTAGTCAAAGCGGTCAGAGAGTGTTGCTGGAAGTCGCTGGTGACGTAGGGAGAGAGGGTGCTCGAAGTGCTGGATGCGTAGGCAGTGAAGAACTGAATGAACCACATCCTGGAGATTGTTAGTCCTATCTTGAGTATCGAGAGATCGTCCACTTACGCAATGTACGCTAGAATCAAGTCACGCTTCTTCCAGATCATTGAAGCCGCCTGAACTTGTTGCACACCAATCTCAGCAGTGGTATCAACCTTGTTCAGCTCTTCATCGGACTCTCTGCTCAACGCAGACTCCCTCGGGCTGCCGACCTTCTCATCGGGGCGAGCAACGTCCATGCTGGTGTGACCTTGGTAGGAAGCGGGCACGTCGGCAATGTCTTTGTTGTCAGCATTGGCAGAAGCAGCGCTGCCAGAGACCAATGCACTGCTGGTCAATCCCTTGAAGTTGAAACCCATCTTGGCAATCGTAGGCGTTGTTGCACACCAAAAGCGAGGGTTGTGATGGTTGGAGATGAAGAGATTGATAAGACAAGATGCCGCACGAGGTACAGGTTCATATACAGAAAACGCCGATCCACGCGGCTCCACTGCAGGGCATTGTCAAGACGCACCCGGTTGTCGGCTCCCTCGCAGCTGGGTGGGTAAATTGTTCGTGTGGACCGTCAAAACGGAAATGGTGGTGAATATCACGGTGCACCTGCCCGGCTAGCACCATGCACCAAAGCTTGTTCTTTTCCAGATGCAGTTAAACCCCCGGGATTAAGCATTTTCAAGCATGATCCAGACGGCCTCCAAATCTTATCTCGATAATCAGCCGGCATCAGCGGCCATCTAGAGCCAATGACAGTCTGCGGTGGCGTGACGCGTGGGTTATCAGATGAAAATTTTCGATCTAATCATTATCTGATCAAAACCCGCAAGCCACGACGCCTACTCGCACCATCACGCTCTGCTCCGTCATGCCTTCGTAAGGCGGGGGTACCGAGGGCAATAATGGCCTGTTAGCTTGCGACCACGGAACTGCCGATGGTGCTCCCAACACTCGATAGCCGCCGAATACTTGGTGGAGCTCTTCGGGGTTTCTGCAGAATTTGCTCCATACTCGTACCGTGGTGGCGGGACGACAGATACAGAAACAGCGAAGTGGGTTGAAGGAGCGGAAGAAAAGGTACAAAGGGGATAAAATGTCTTCGAGAAGCTGGGCTTTGCAGGCATTTTGTTCCTACCTTCATCTGCATCCAATCGCATCTAATCGACACTGCTGCTGCGATGAACGGATTCAAGGGTCTGGCATCTTGGCACAAGTGGGGTTGTGATTCGGGGTTGCTCGTCCGAGACTGCTAACGGCGGCTGATACTTCTTCCTTGGGTCCCGACAATATGAAAAGGCCTCTTTGGACCCACGCATCCATCGCCCTCGGGACTGAATTAGATGTGATGCGTCGCCGCGCGGTACCGCGAAGCACAAGAGGATGAATGTACCGCAAGTCGATGTCCAGGTACAGTGCAACCCCATCCTACATGAGTCATGCCAGTGGCGGTCCGTCGGACTGATCCAGACATGCGCGCGTAGCTTTCTTGTCACCTGTAATTGAATGCGTACGTCTGCATTGACGTGTACACAGTGCTAAGAGTAGTGTGTGCTTCTTGTGTTCCTCTGGCAGTTCATTTGTTGCTTCCCCTGCATCGTGTAGCTTCCGCATGCAATTACCACGACATCTGTACTCCAGAGTACACCAACGTTATGTATCGGGCCGCAAGTACCAAGGCGTACACCTTGGGATCACCGCTGATGTCAAGCGCCATGCAGTATGAGGTGTAAGCTTCTTGAGTGGGTGAGTCTTGACGATCAGGTGGAACTGTGGAGCTTCCAAGAAACCGCTTAGGCAAGTTTGCAAACTGGAGAGCCGGTTTGCGCTTCATACCTCACTTGTCGTTCTTGAGATCTCCTTGATAGTTTACATTCAGCAATGTGCTTGGCTTGTAGAGACAGCTCCTGTCTAGCGTCTCAAATCTGCCTATGAGCCCCATACGCTCACTTGACCTTTCTCAATCCACCTCTCCGTCTCCTTCTCTGGTATCCTAGTGAATAAGATACTTCGCAAAGTCCAGCTTCTCCCTCTGCCTCTTCTCCGGCGAGTGCTTCGTTGCGGAGACGAAGTCCTCGCGAAAGCTAGGGCACAAGCCGAGGAAGAATGACCATCGTTCTCGATCCGTGTGGTCGATGATGGTGGCATCCCCCCAGTTGCGAACGAAAACATCCTGGAGAAGTTGTTGCAGCTGCGATGAGCCTTCCGCAAAGCTCTCCTTGTGGAGCTGGAAGATATAGGCTAGCAGTGCTGGCGTCAGCGGTTGCGAGAGAGGTCTAGAGAAAGCTTTAAAGAGACGCTTGATGGCATAGTTCTGGAAGTTCTTCGCACGTAGGGTGGCGCCAAGTTCCCAGCTGGCAACGGCTGCCTTGATGGGCCAGTCTACTGGAAGTTCAGGCGGAAGGTCGATCACCAGAGGAGCGGATAGCAAAGTCAGGCTCCTGTCGAACGACCACGTGAGACCTTCCTTTTCCTGGTATTTTCGAGTATACAACCACTGAATGAGCAAGTCGAAGATCTCGAGGGGATGTTCAGGCCCAAGATCGTATGTGCGAGAATTTTGCCACTTGAATTCATCGCACTCACTTTCCATCAGCGCTATGTGGACTGACCGGAGTGACTCTTTCTTGTGGGTAGGGTCGTCTGAATGCCCGATTCTGATGATACAGACTCCTCTATCCGCCGGACTGTAAATAGGTGCAATTAGTGATAGCCTTTTGATATCTTCTGCGACAGCTCTTACCTTCCAACCAGCTTCTCACCATGAGCGCATTCTTCTAGCGCAGCGGGACTCTTAAACCCAGTCGCCATACCCATCTTGGAATGTACGAAGTTGGTAGAGATTGGGGATACGAGGAAAGAGAGTTAGGGTAGTAGGCAGCTGGTAAGTGTTGACAAGGCAACATCGTAAGGTGAGCGAAAGTCTGGAGCTCACCTCCTCGACAAGTACAAGACTCATCGATCACCAGTTTCGCACACTAATCTCAGATGTTGAGAGCGCTTTACGCCTTAACCTGCATATTCGTTTGTCTGTCGAGCCATCTATAGAAATATCGAGGTAACATCCAAGAGCACTGCGATGGTGCTCATCCTTCCGGAGATGTCGAATTCAGTGCGTTCTGGTTAGTAAAGACTATCGTGTTGATGGCCGTCTATAACACGTACACGACGGATGAAGCAATGTAAGGAAGCTTCGAAAACGGTGTCACGGAGATACAGCGGATTGATTGTCTGCTCGGGTGAAGTGAAAGCATCAGTACATCTCCAGATCCCAACGGATGACAACGTATAGCATTCTGTTCAGCCACAGATACATACCACGGTAGAGCGTAGCGAGAAGGGTTCTGAGGTCACCTGAAGAAACATAAGCCCGTTACTGTAATGCGCAACATGACCAACTCATGCTGACATTGCTCTCCAACATTACTCGCCCACTGGCATCATGAGAGAACGTATCGTAGCGGGAAGAAGGGCGCCTCATAACTCAATGTTTGCCACCGTTATCGACTCCAGTTCGCGGCTTCCAAGGTTCTTCTTAGCTTGTAGCCACAATCTGCGCAAATGCTCTGCACCAAGGACGGATCCTAGCTGTAAAATGACCACTAGTCACTCTTCGCCCCATGTGTGGTTCTTTCACACAGGACTTCTGGTCCAGACTCCATGGCCATGCTTGGCTTGTAGCCATAACTTGCGCAAAAGAACGCTCAACGGTATCACTGTGGAGAGAGGTTGGGCCGCTAAACCCCACTCTCGCAATATACGGGGTCACGTTTACTTTATGCGCGCGCAAAGCGCTTGGAAAACAAGACCACCGGTAGAAATATGAAGGTGCAAGATATTGCTTTTGTGACAATAGGACCGAGAATGACGTGGGGTCAATATGCCGTCAACATGTTGGCATTGGTTGGTAACACCATCGTTGTCATGAGACATGGATGTCACTTCCCACGGAGTTACTCTGCATGTGAGTTACTTATACGGAGCGTCTCCGATTGGTCGAGTTGACATTGTAGCGGTGCTGTTACCTGGCTGTTGGCATACCATCAAGAGCGATCTATGTTCTTCCCGCAGGAATAGTTATCTGCTTGCTGTTGCGTACAAGCACATGCTGGCTTGTCACAACATTTTGCAATTCAAGGTTTCTGGTGTTGCCATCATTTGTAAAATGGAAATATCGCCTTCTTAGTCAGATGCCACAGTACAAGGTTAATACTAAATTCATTCGCAATATCGCAGTCATAATAGGGTATCTAATCGTTCAAAATCCAGCGCAGTCGTTCCATCCAGCACCATCTACGCACAACAACCGGTCGGCCCTGCCGCCTCGATCGAAGAACGTCTGTCATCTTTCTCGCTGACCTGGCCGTATGGTATCCTAACCACCATCCAGTCGCACAAGAACTTGCCCAAAACAGCTCCTAGTATGATCGAGATGAAGATGTATCCGTTGAAGTGCATAACCAACAACATGATGATGTACGCGAGACCGAGAATCAAGCCATGTAACGAGGCGCGAACAAGTTGTTGTAGTGCCGAGGCACGGAAGGTGGCGTGTTGTGTTCCGAGAGTCGAGGTGGGGCCGTCGCAGCAGTTGGCGGGCGTGGCAGCGGCGAGCGCAGCTTGCTGTGCGTTGAGTTGTCGTTGGAATTGGCGAAGGAGAAAGGCATCGTATTCGGTGCTGACTCGTCGCAGGAATTCAAGAGTAACGACTAGGAGAGCAGCGCCGATGCAGCTTGCGGCCATCATGGCGTTGTTTGTTACGTGCCATGATTCGGAAAGGAAGCATGCGTCTACTACACGCCAGTTCCATAGCATCTAAGAAACGTCAGTGATGATGTTATATCGCGGCGATGTGAATTGCAGACCTCTGTGACGCAGGTGCTGTTACTCGAGGACATTCCGGACATTCCTGACATTCCGTGCATGATGGGCGGCGTTGTTCGTGTTCCGAGGTTGGTTCGTAAAGTTTGGAGCGACGTCTGTCAGGAACTGAACCGTGGAAGAGGGTATGTCAAAAAATGATATAACAACCGTCAAACTGGACCCTGCGGCTATAGATACCGCGACATAGATATGTAGGATCGAGTTACCGTCTCACTGCAGTCTGGCCCGCGCAGGCATGCCGGCAAACTCGCCGGAAATTATGGGGGAACTTGCTCAAACACTCTCGCACTAGCCTCTTCAATCGATCCAAGAGTGCGGGAGCCGCTTAAAGACCCGCCTAAGCTTCGCAGCCCACTTCTCGAATCCTTGGCCCATCTTTTTACGAAACGTGCTCACCATGTTTCCGGTGTGTTACAGTTCGCCTGCGGTAGTTCATATAGATATGCGGTCCGCGCACCGATTCGAGACATGTAGCACGCATCGT